GCTATCACTTGAATTTATAACCAGTCTTGCAGCAGTTACTCTGCAAACAGAATACAGAACTTCATAGCAATATTTTTATATGTTAGGATCATAACAATATTATTATCTTAGCAATGTTATAACAAGATCCGAACAGAATCGACCCGCATGTACGGTGTCACCGGTCAATCAAGAAATTTCAAGATCTTGAAATTTCTTGAGTGAATACAAGAAATGTCAAGAAGGACGTCATGACAAGATTTTTCGAAATTTCTTGACTTTTTCTCAAGACAAAACAAAACGTTGGTATCAAGACAAGAATTCTTGTCTTGGCGACCCCTAATCATAATAAAGAGTACGTATTTCACTGGCCAAAATCTGTAACACAAACCGTATTAAAATGAACAATATTAAGAAACCGGTTAGCAGACATTTAATTCGCATATATTTTAATACGGGAGTAAAATAGTATATTGTTTTATCAGGATCAAAAATGACACTTTGTTTGACAAGTGAATTTTGCATTTGCGATGCGGAGCGGTTAGCGAAGCCGAGCGACAGCAACATTTGCGAGTCGAACAAAGTCACTTTTGATCCGAATGAAACATGCTATATTTTCTGCAACCGAAACAATTAACTCAAATAAATATGCCGTGCCATATTTTTGCAATGCAACAAATATTGACAAATAATCCGTGTGGTGAGAATATTCTACCTGCATTAACAGCAGGTTAGGTTTTCAAGGATGTTCGAATTGTAGTTTCAATATAAATACAACCACAGAGTGACATAGTTGTGTATGGATCAGGTGCTCTAATGGCAAATACCGCGCCAGTGCCAGCTATAGGAACAAGAAGTGGAAAATGTTAGGTTAGTGAGCATATCAACAATGATAATAGTGATTATTTATTCCTCTCTATACTACACTGTGTTTGACTTGATAATCAAATGAAGCTAAACAATATCGTTGTTTGAGACAAAAAAACTATTGCTTGTCGTGATTATTCAAAAACAAATTATCCATCCCGAGAATAACGAATAGAATACAGATCAAGCAAGTATTTGAATCTTGAAGGCTTCCCTGATCAAAAGAAAAATACTTAACTGAGATGTTTATAATTCCAATACTTAACTATAATAAGGTGTATTTATATCTCCAGCATGGGTATGCATGAAATATGCCAAATCTGCTGAAATCGGAAACAAATCAGGTATGCGTCTCAACCCAAATAACCAACCGTCACAATGTTGTTTATTCTTGATGACGTCCAGTACATCCTTTTTAATTCCTTTCAACTTAAGCTCCTAGGAACTAAATATGTTGCCTAGCAACATACCTATTTTTTTGTCAGTAATAGAAACGTCAATTTAAGAGCAAATTTTGATATCAAAATGGACGACATTTGTGTCGGTTGCAGAAAAAACTTTCATTTTGCACGACCCTATACATTCACGCATAACTTGTGAAACAGAACTCACGTAGTATCAGAGTTTTTTTTTTCAACATAAATGTATTCCGCACTTCATCATGATACTGTATATTATCTGACCCTGATACCAACTGATACATCATATCCTGATGGACCCTAATAGGTGAAAGGCCAATAATTTCGTAGAGTTGTAGTAGTACAAATAACGAAAATTATATATTTCCTTATTCCTTATCCACTATTCGTCTATAAATATAACAACATGGGTAAGAACTAATAACCATCTAAAAATAGAAACAAACATGCTTTTATCGGTAGATTGAAAAATATCTGTCATGAAACGGGCTTGATTTTATATCTAGTAATTCGACTGTGTGTACCTGAACAACACAAGACACAAAATACAGTAATTAAAAGATCAATCCTGAACGAACACGAGCCATTCGCCTGATTGGTGATGCCACAGTCACCAATCCCTTGAAATCGTTCGAATACGCAGGAAATAAATCAGCATCAGTTTCTCATCATTGAGACTTCATGAACCTTAGAAGAACTAGGTATAGAGGCATGGTGAAATTATATGAACATCATATTATAATTCTACCATGGGTATAGAGGTAGGTATGTAGGTAGGTATATGTACGAGGAAGAAGGTATTCTTACCTAAATCGAATGAAACAACTGACATTTCCCAAATAATTTATATTTTCAACAGCAACATGATATATAGGTATATCTCTTCATATTCGTTACAGGGTGAATATCGGAATAAGGAACAAGACTAGAGCACCAGATTATTACTACTACTATATAGTAGATTTACAAAATAATTCAAGAAAACTTGAATAATAATAGCCAATTTTCATCAATTTATTGTTTTGAGAAAATATTGACAATTTATCGCACCCCGTGACATTACTGGATCAACTTTAATACGTCCAAAAGATACCTCATCAAGTTTACTTTACTATGAAACTTTCACAGAAGTCGGTAAAAGCGATATTTATGCAGGTGTAAAGAATACTCCCAGTTTGGTCCGTTCCTCCCGAGTCGCCCTGTACATATATTTTTTATTTTTCTTATACCTATACGAAATAAAACAAAATTTTTTGTTCAAAAACAAAACAATAATTATAGCAATTAAAAATCTTTGGAGTAAACTGGAGACTGGATTATAAAAATAGATCAGTTCTATTACATGATTTAAAATATTGTTGTTATACAGCAATGGAAATAACAGTGAAATAACAGAGAAGCCGACTCTAGAAATCTGCACCCCGTTTTTTTTTTTTTCAAGGAAAGCGCTAGGTGGTATGTGGGAGGTACCAGACAGTCGGATTTTATTAATCTAAGGGCGCCTTATAAGACTAGAACAAAACCAGTCAAAACAAGCCCTGCAAGCTACGCGTCGGGGCAGGACCGTATGGTGGTGTTGGCTTCATTTTGACATTCCCACTTGGAATTAGTGGTGCCCGCGAGAGTCTCGTTTTCGAGAGTCTCGCATGGTCTCGTCTCGTTTTCGAGACAAGACTCGAGACGAGACTCGGACAAGACGAGACGAGACGCGACTTTTATTGGTCTCGTCTCGAGTCTCGTGCAAGACTTCTCGGGTCTCGTGCGAGAGTCTCGCAGGTAAATATACACATTATTATTTAGAAAGAATTCAGACTATTTTAGCACAAACAGACAAAACATTCCATTCATAAATACTTTAAAAACACAATCCATGATCTCTTATGGCGGCGGAAAATAAAGGCAATTCTGCAATAAGTCATTCTGTGCTAAATAGTCTAAGATAAAGAATAACTTTGTTTTGACAGGAGTATGGATGCAGGAGCTTCAAAAATATTATTCTGTGCCTCGGTGTAATCAAAACACAGATATATAGCAATGGTGGAAAATTCATGCTTCTGAATCTCCCATTCTAAGTTTGATGGCACAAGATCTCTTAAGCATACCGGCTACTTCAGTTTTCTTGTTTAGATGTATGATGTAAGTATGTACCAGGTGATTCAATAAGGGTGGCGAGGTACTGTATCTCAGAAACTAATAGTCTATAAAACACGCCCCTTTGCGAGGGCGGTAAGAACCCCAGAATGACATGTATAATTTTTTATTTCATTCGTCAAACATTCCTTTCTTGATACAGGCCTTGTTGGCAAAATTCTTAGCTCCTCAGATACAGAATCTCGTCCTCCTTATTGAATCACCTGGTACATATAAGGTACTTACTTTTCAAATAAATAATGTTATTTTTGTTGTGATCTTGTCTTCCTACTTCTACATTATACCTAGAAAGAAGGTAAAGGTAAATATCCCGTACTAGACTGGAACAAGATTATTCATGACGAAATTGCGATACATCTGCGAGACACTCGTACGAGACGCGAGACAAGACGAGACTGGAGACTGCGAGACGAGACTTGGGACAAGACTTTATATTTCATCGACGAGACGAGACTTTATGAAAGTCTCGGGTCTCGTGTGAATCACTACTTGGAATTACCACGCATTATCCGGGGTGTCCCATAAATCATGGATCGAAAGAAGTGAAAACAATCCCTGCAAGCTACGTGTCGGGGCAGGAGAGTATGGTGGTGTTGGCTTCATTTTGACATCATTATGAAAATTAACGTGAACACGATTCCCACTTGGAATTTTTACGCATACCTAGCTTGTCCTAAATGAACATTTTTCCTGAAAAGAATATTCTTGAAATACTAATAGTGGAAAAAAAAATTAAAAAAATTGACGCCTCGCAGGGATTGAGTCCCACCGTGGAAGTCAAATACACAGAACACTGAGCTATCGCTTTACTCGTAGTGATCGTGATTATCAATATAAAGAAGGAAGAAATATCATGTGTTGGGTGACCTCGATGTTTGAAAGATTCCTTGGTCCAGCTAGAAGCTTGTTTCAATACGCAGGAACCCTCAAGCTGTTGTTCATGACTTTGACGTGGTATCGAAATCAACCAAGCATCCATTTTGTTCATAGGCGGCGGCAAGGTGGATGGCGTTGGCGTTGGCTTAAGTGTTTTATGTATGTCATCAGGGGTCGGCTTAATGAAAATAATATCAAAATTGATTGGTCATATCAATTTTTTAGTTTTATTATCGCCAATCCTAGGAAATATGAAGTGTTTTGTTGTTTGGTGTAAGAGTTCCTTGATTAATAATGCATGTTTTGTGTATTCATTCATCTGTGAAGAATTTGAGTTCAATGATCTATAATGATTCTAGAATTCCTATAAGAATAGGAGGAATGAATGGTTTGAGGCTATAGGAATACCATTAGACCTAAGCCACTCAGACAGCTTTCTGATGCTTCCATGCAAATCCAGGACTTGCAAATTCACTGTTTTTTTAAATAAAGTTCTCAAATCTGAGTATTTGGGATCTATGAACCTTGAATACGGCATATTTCATTCGTTTCTCACTACTTTATGTATGACCCCTCCCAACCTTTTTCCTTTGATACACCTATGTTCCACAGAATCATGAGTGTAACATGACACATCTTGAATGCGCATGAATTAGATTCATCAGTTCGATCTCCTGAGTGGCTCACCTTTTTCCTTATAAAATTGGGGGTCTAGATTAGTATGTGATGATAACTATATTTGCGCATGTGCATCATGCCACCAAACTGTTTCATATTTCAGCATCCACCTGGCACCCGTTGTTATTATCGTTAATTAATACGTAAACACATTTACGTCACCGCATTGTCTCAATAAAATACAGTTTCCGACGTCAAACATGCGTCAGAAATATTCGTATTTACAGTCCTCAATCTGCTGGTCTGTCAAAATACTGAAGCCAACACGGTCCTCTCCTGAGAAGTGGTGTATTTCTTAGACAATCAACAATATTATTGCTGCTAATAATGCCTGTTTAAAATTCTATTGGATTTAGAAAGTCAAAAATATGGCAACAACATATTCTTAAATCCATTTTACCCTATGCTGTACTCAAGGACCTCTATTATACTTCATAAAAAATTGACGCCAAAGGATACCTGATGACGAACGCCAAACAAGTGAAGAATATCTGAATGCCAATCAGAACGCTGGTCAATTTGGCTTCGTGCATTGGCCCCAAATAGTACAAAACCAAATTAATCAACGTTAAATTATTAGTGTAAACGTACCCACCCTTTTCTTGCCATCTCACCAACCTGAACAATTTGAACAGGCTGATGGAAATTTTACCTAGGACACCTAACTCCGAATACCTGAACACAGTGGTACTGATCTCCATTCTATCAGTCTTCGAATTGAATTTGGGCAGTCGATGTCTGGGGCAGGGTACCAGTTTGAACAATTGCGGGGAGGAGTACAGAAAATTCAACACTTGCGGTATGAAAAAGAGTAGAGTGGTTTTGCTGAAATGTCCGAGAATGCCTACCACGGCAAAGGTCATGCCGGAAAAGTAGCAGAAGGTATCGCCAACGAATACTTTGGAAGGGTACCTGAAAGAGAAGAGGATGATCAGTCTACAGCTCCGATCAGTCCCTACCATGATTTGAAGTTAACACTGAAATGCTTGGGTAATACGTCTGGTTTTCAAATCTCCGTTAAAGGTCCTAATATTTGTAACTACGGGCGGAGCCATTCATGTAGATAGCTATCAGAACAAACTAAGAAAAGTCTCAGATCTAAAATCAATAAACATTTTTTTCCAAGCGGCATAAAGAAGTGGCTTTTCCATGAAACTTGACATGAAGGTAAGGTGTACTTCCTCTGCCTAGACAGGAAAAGTTTCCAAGTGATTTGAATGAATCAGAACATCGAATGATTGCAAGGTTCGGATCTCCAGAAGAACAAAAAAATTTTGTATTTAAAAAGAGTTATAAATTCTAATTTTCGTAGCCTCGGCCGAAGATGATTCCGCACGATTCGCTGTTGCATTCCAATTAACAGTGCTGCGCCTAAGGTGGCGAATGGGCTTAGTAACAACGCCTTCCTACGCTGTACATGACGTCACCCACAACACACGTACCCAAGGATGCGTTCGATTATTGACTCTCAGTCAGAGTATAGTAAAGTTAGTTGAGGGCTTTATCAGTTTACTCTGAGTTAATCAGGGTGTGTTTTTCAATCCAACAATTCGCCATGCCAATGTCATGCGCATGAACCGAAGAAACCACCGAACTGTTGCAAAAATCCGCTAAATTTTCAATTTCAATTCAATTTTCAATTTGCTCGCAGGAAATCCAGCAGTTTGGACTGTTTGGAGGAGATGAACATGACAATTGACACATTTTTAGAGAACCCAAAATATGGAGGATTTTTGAGATTCTTGAGAGATTTAGGAAGATGCAGTTGGTGTTAATCAATAAAATCATATCAGCCTCTCCTGATTCATAAGATACATTACAGATTGACTCACAACGGAATCCATGTTTCCTTCCATCAATGTGTTGTATATTCCATTACGAGTTGGTGACGTCACAACGAAAATGCGTATCAATCAGTGCAAGGACCCACCCATCTACCTTACATTACGTTATTACGTTGGGAGCCAGAATATTGGATACAGTGTGCGGAAACTGTCTGCAAGCACTCGTGGAAATGTAGCTCAAATCCTGGCTCAAATTTCATTATAACTTTACATGCTGCTCTATAGGTTATCAGAAGGAAGGAAAATGTCGTTTCCGCATTATAAGGGACTACCTTTGATCTAACTCGGCCTGAATGAACCTTTTTTCTAAAAAGTATATTTCAAGAGAAATTACTTAAGTGAAAACAGAAGGTTTTTAAAAAAGTATGAGGAAGGAAAAAATTGTTTCTGCGTGAAAAAGGCGACTTCTTTCAACCGAACTCGTCCTAAATGATAATTTTTCTGAAAAGTATATTTTTCGAAAAATTACTTGTGATAAGAATGAAAAAAAGAACGCCTCGCAGGGATTTGAACGCGAGCCACCGCCGTGGAAGTCATCTGACTTCCATCTACACAGAACACTGAGCTATCGCGCTACTCGAAAGTTCTAACTATGAAGAAAGAAGAACGTGTTGGCTTGTTTATAATAGAGTCCCTTGATGGAAATTGACGTTAAAGTCATCTTAACAGGGTACGGACAGATCCTCGTCTCCTCTCACTCTAAAGTGTTTGTGAAACAGTTATATAATTCCATCCTCATTCAATTCTGGGGATAAACACTAGATTTTTGACATTTGTTGTTTTTTAGGTTATATTGAGGTCATTGACGTATCATACGGAATTTCCATATGGAATTCCTGATTCAACTATACCAAGATATAGATGAACAATCCTCTAATTTTGGAGTTTACTACTCCAGCATAATCTTAAATTTGCTAGGTAGGGAACATATAAATTGTAGTGAAAGCTTTATATACTCCACCAAAAGATACTGTTCTTAGACTGTATACCAGGGTTGACTGAATTGACTGATTGAATTCTGATTTCAAACTGAGCAGCAGTTTATCTATGAGCTGAATGAGCTGAGCCTTATGATTGAGAAATGGTGAAAACCTCGGGTATCTAAACTACTGTACTCATGTTGTGTGTGCTAAATATATTTTCGGAAATGGTGAAAACCTCGGGTATCTAAACTACTGTACTCATGTTGTGTGTGCTAAATATATTTTCGGAAATCCAACTCGGAGAAGAATTTATGGAGTGACTAATATCGCACTATGTATATAACTTATTCGATCGTGAAATCTTTTTATTTCCTTGAATTCTATTCATAATCATTAACATCCAGAAATCATTTGACACTGTCAATATTTTCTTTTTTCAACAACATACAAATTGTATTGGGAACGAATAATAAATATTACTAGTTTACTAGCTGACTTGGCAAACGTTGTTTTGCTATGCGAAATATTTCTAGAAAATATTCTTTTAGTTAAATATTCACATTTCATTTATCTCATTTTCTACTTCTTCTCAGTTCGGCTGTCCATAAAAGCATGTTTCTTTAGTTTCTCCATGATTTTCAATTTTTTACTCCTTTTCAGCTTGGCAATTTATCTCTTCAGTTTTTTTAAACTACTATTCATTCTCTATTTCTCCTAAATTCGACTAAGTATCTACAATAAAATTGATTTTTCAAACAACTATTTATAAAGTTCGACTCCGAAAACCCCCAGATACCAATCTTCAATAGAATCAGATCATAATTAGAAATGTCTTTCGCTATATTGGATCCGTCATCTTGAATTTTCTAATTTTGACGAAACAATCATTATCTCCTACCCCGAAAACCCCCCGATACAATTTTGAATAGAATCGGATCTTACTTACAAAACTCGTCCATCATATTGGATCCATCAGAATCTTGAATATCCCAATTTTGACGAAATAATTATAATCTCCGAACCCGGAAATCCCCAGATACCTTCCAATTTTGGATAGAATCGGATCATAATTACAAAACTCGTTCGCCATATGATCTTCCTCAACAAGTAGATACCCTGTACATACCTATTATTAAAATGTTGAATGATTTTCTGTAGCGCCCATGGATGTGACGTGACAGCAATGTCAGGGATGCCAGTAGATAAAACTAAAGTCTCTAGATCATTAAAAAAGAATGCAGCTATGAACTGTCCGTACCCTGTTAAGATGACAAATACGTCAATTTACATCAAGGGACCCTAGTTTATAACAAGCAGCACAGCAGCATGCTACTAATTGCATTACTTGCGAGAGACATTCATGAAATTTTCCTTCTGTGAGGACTGTCTATGTCAATTGTCATTGTCACATGTCAAATTCAAAAACAAAAGAAAAAACAAGATGAAAAAATGAGGTAGTAATTTTAGTTATTCCCGGGCAGATTTCCAGCAAAATAATGGGAATAACTAAAGACCCATCAGCTGCCAGTGCCGTTAGCCAAAATACCATTCATGCGCTGGGCAAAGTGTGACCACTCTCAACAAAATTTAGGTTATGTCTTGAGAGACGAAAATAAATGTATATCTTTCGTTTGAACCTCAGGAAGGTATCCATAGGGATTCTACTTTTCGGACAGCTATTTCTGCTATTCCTCTACTTTTATTCTCAACAGAGTCCTATCTTCCAAACGACTGATAGCCGCATCTCCTTCCTGAAAAGTGAGGACTACGAAAATGAACTCCAGACCACATATCACTCTCTCAACAGCAATATCATTCTCAAGTCTATCAAGACCAGGCAGAGTTACATAGATTTCAACTCTAGCTTGTGCTTCACCAATGGCAGTGATCTGAACTCCATGAGACTTTCCACAGGGGGTAAATGGAAATGTGAATGCCTACCAGGATGGCATGGGACTGATTGTGGACAGCCAGAGGTACTGTGGAGGGCAATACTCTCCAGCAGGAAGCCGGTGAAGATAAGGGGGCCCAGGACCTTCGAAAGGAGACTGATATATGTATTCAAGGTGGACAGGTTCTCTGAGTATGTTGCTGATATCAGGATCAATGAATTGGGTGAGCAAAATATCAATGTTTATTTTAGGGCTTACCCATTTTTTTCTTTTATCTTTGAATTGCAAATTGAATCATTAGAAGTAATATAGTAGGCATAAAATGAAACAGTTAAAAACATCAGAATGATAACTGAAATATTTCTTGGTAGAACAAACTAGCATGGCTTGGCATATTTTGGATTAATGCAGTTATATTGTCACAATGACTCAACTGAATTGTGATTCTTAGTAGAACATAATCACTGGTTAAACATTGAACAATGATCAAACATTTACTGTGATAATTTTGTTAATTTTCAGGGCCTATCATAGATCTGTTTATCTTGTATGAAGATGACAATGCTGACTTTTTACTGCACAAACTGGGCAACAAATTTTGCAAAGAATACCAACACAAGATCCTCTACATGCAAGGAGATGGTACAAACTTGTGGAAAAAAGTGAAGCCCTTCTTAAAGAACCTCAGAAATGATGACATAATTCTCTCTAGTGGCCTCAACGAAATCCCCAATAAAGATGCCCTAATTTTCCTCAAATTCTATGATCACTGGCCTCAACCCATAAAGTTTCGCTACAGGTGGTCAGTTTTTGGTTTTTTTTGGGTACATCCTAGTAAAACCATTACAGGAGGAGGAGCGTGCACAATTTCATTTCTCAAAGAATCCTTCAACAACAAGTTGAGTCTTCTTACTGATAATAAAACATTGTCTAGTCCTTTGTATAGAGGGCTTATTTTGGGTGATTTGAACCATTATGGGGGATGGTACTGTGAGTTTTGCAATGATCCCCTTAGGATTGTGGATTTTTTGTCCACCAAGTCAAAAAATGTGATAAACTGGGATAGGGTCAATCATCAAAAAATTGATAGTAGTTTCGTTGAGGATCTTATAGAGAATGGTGTGTACATGGATGGCAAAAGTGAGCTTTGGAAGGCCCATAAGTACCATGACAACTATTTTGCACCTAAATTTGTTTTGGAGCATGACTGGAAATATGATTTTTTGTTAGTTAATTTTTATTCAAAGTTGGACTATTATGAGGGGTAAACTGTTATAGAAATTATAAATCAGTCAATATCTTTATGAATATTGTTTTTTTTTTTTGGATTTTCTGCCTGAACATGATGTATAATCAACAGATATAATGCCTATTTTTTGATATTATGGAAATATGGGTGGTGTTTCACTGTTTCAGGTTTCACTTCATTCTCCTAAAAATTAGGATAAACCTGTGGAATAATTAAAGAACTGAATGTTAATCAAGACATCAAGAACATGTCTGCTTGTTCATTCATTAATATGTGATTTTAGAAAAAAAAATGAATATTGATAGCTCAAATTCACCTTGTACATAATGCACATACTCATTATATAATGCTGATAGCTTCTGTTGAATAAAAAAATTGAGTTATAGAAAATGTTGTCATTCCATTGATATAGATTCCTTCAACTATCCTACTATTCTTCAAAGTAATAAAACATTAGCAATTTCTCAATTTTTACCAATATTTCATGATATTAGTGATTTGAATATATTTACAAATTCTACAAAATATATGTAATATTTTTTAAATTTAATTAATTATTATAAATTAAAATTTAGGGAATAGTTTCATGACCATAGTTATACCAAAGTTGCAAGATATTTCTGCCTTGTAACTACCATCAAAATACTGAATGGATATTTATTAGGAACACCTCCACTAGTGACAGGTTTATGACTATTCATGGTAAATTCAAAAAATCAAGCTATCAACTCACCAATTGTGTTTTAACAAAGCCAATGTAGTAGCAGTATAAGGCAGCATAAAATACAGACTGAACTGGTGTGCTTTCCAGAGCTTCCCAGAGAGTTCCACTACATTGAAAATGATTATGGACAAGGCTATCACAACACTTTGTCCAGCTTCCAAACCATTAACCCCTGCCAGAATATTGATGGCATTAGTGCAGAAAACTGCCAACATTCCCATGTACACATAGTACAGGAATCCAATGTCTATGCTGAGCCCTAGAAGTTCTCTGAATGGTTTGGGAACTACAATTGTGGTGGAATTGAAATTGACATAATATACCATCAGCAATGGTAAAGAGGCAACGGTAGGTAATAACAGCTTATGCCTCCAACGTAAATCTAGCACGTCATCGGCGAATCCGAGCAACAACATGCAACAAATTGATAACAAGGCTGCTATCATTTCCACAAACTCATCATGTGGAAAGCTGCCATTGAAAAGGCTATGCCCGAAGGGTATGGGTATGAATAAGAACATAGTCATCAAGAAGACACATCCTGTGACGACTCCAAGTGATTCAGGCCTGAAATAAATCATGAAATTAAAAATCTGAGATATTATAGATAAACTTAACCTCACACTTTGTCACTGGTAGTTTTGCTCATATCGATACCAAACAAATTGGCTTTGATGAATTTTTCCTTTATGTTTGGTATTATCCGAACTGTGACTAAGTAGGCTACAATGGACATCATCAAATTTATAGCTATTGGATACATTTTGCTAGGATTATTTATTTCTGCATACACATCTGGCGCCATTTTTCAAACAAGTAGCTCAGTTAGAGTTCGAGGTCCGAGTTAGTAGCTGTCAACAGTGTCAATTGTCATTCGTCATTCTGTCAAAGTCAAAGATTTGAATATCAGTTTTGCCAACATTTCCTCTTAGTTCTCATAGTTTGCCAACTCTTGAACAAATATGCTCCAGGGTCGGAGTCAGCATGGCATTTTGGGTCAGAAAAGATAAAGGACCCCGCACGAAAACATGGGAAATTGGCCCTGGGTCGAATTGGCTAAAATGCTACTATTATGTTGTGGGATGGCTCATTAGAAGAATATGTGAGTTTGAAAAGTTTTGTTCGCTTAGTTTCTGATCGAGATATAAGCCGACAAAGTTCGTAAACCGTCGTATCAGGGTTGGGATGCCGAAGAAACAAATGTTTTTTTTTTTTAATAAGCCAAAGTAAGCTAGAAAATGTATTGATCGGAACCTGTGATCGGAACTCATAAACATTTCTACTTATAATCACATAAATTATAGTGAATGTTGTATGCGTATTTCAAGAGTTCTACTTGCTTTTATATGAACCTTGGCGTGTTAATACCTACACGCAACGGTCCATAAAAGCCTATTTTTCGCCCTAAATAAATATCATGTATCAAGGGCGTGATAAAGTAGGATTTCATGGACCGCAGCGAGTAAGTAAGAGTACGAGCGTTATAGCGATGGCAATTAACATGCCTATAGGTCCATTATAGCAAGTTACGCCCGAAATTCATACAACATTTTATGCAAAACCGTTGTAGACATTTATTCAATGTATATGGAATTTATGAACGATTTTGAATTCACACACAGTGAAATTACTTTACCGCCCGCTGTACTCATTCATCACCACCCTAGGGCGCTAAAGTGTTACTTTACGGCCGGTCGTGCATACAAATTATGACAATGATAATAATAATGATATCAAAAAATGATCTATCGAATTCGAATACCATGAGCTCGACGAATCAGAAGATATATCGGGATATCGATCGTGTATATTGCCTAACAACAAGTTTTGGAAAATCTGTCGAATTATTCCCAAGTTAATCCTCACTCTCTTGTGATGAATAGGTAGGTACCTGTACTTCCTACTAGGGATAATCTTCACGAAGTGCAAAAAATAGTGCTCAAGTGACCTTGAGTGGATTTCAAATTTTGGCAGAACTCTCAGGCAAGCATAAACATATTTGCGGGATTGAATCGGTCACTCACTTTAGCCTCATCAGGGGAACAACCAAGGAGTGCCTTCCTCCCCCCCCCCCGCCCCCCTAGAGCAACGACTTATATATTGTTCCATAATCTTCTACCTACCGAAAAAACGTATTCATTTTTCTATCTTTCATCTTTAGGTAAACCTAAATATAAATCAGTCTTGTCCTACAAGCTAACTGTGAAATACCATCAAAATTCACAGTTTATTTTCTATTTGTCTCGTTCTGTCTTTCACAATGATTATCTTTCGGGTAATTCAAATTCCAGGGCCATCATTGGGATCTCGGAAACTATAGGAAGATACAAAGACCTTTATTTAAATAGGGCAATGTTGCGCATTTTTGTGGCTGAAAATATGCCGTCGAGAAAAATTTTCAATTGCAGGAGATAAGTATAAAAAAACAGATATTTTCGTATCTCATTTTCTATTTTCTTCTGGCGTTATTTGTTGAAGAATATCAAAATTGATAGCACATTAACATCGCCACTTCTTTCCTCTCATACGATGACATTTTCAGATTCACTATCCAACGTTTCGTCTTCACGCCATCAATATCAGCTCATTTTTTTATTGGCGCCGTATTAGATTTCCATTAATAATAATTGCATGGTGAATCTGAAAAAGTCATCGTATAGCAAGGAGAAAGTGGCAATGTAAATGTATTCTCAATTTTATTATTCTCCTACAAATAAAAAATGAACGCCAGAAAAAAAATTGAAATGCTTCACCAAAATTTCTGTTTTCTTCGTATATCTCCGGACATACTCAGAATTTCAAAATGTTCTCGCCGGCATATTTTTAGTAAAATAAATGCGCAACTTTCTCCTTATATTCAACCATCTTCGTATCTCCTATAGTTTCCGTAGATTCCAATGGTGGCCCTCCAATTTGAATTACCCGGTACTCAGAGTTCAAAAAAGAATTTGTAATAATGTATACAACATCCATTGGAAATGAAATGTTAGTCAACCTATATCTCATTTTTGTATTCTTGATAGTATTGTGATATTATTACTAGATCATTCAAGTGACAATCAATATTTATTGATATTGAAACGGAATACTCTCAAATATATTTATGAACACAAAAAAATGGATATATATATAAAGACATACATTGAGAATTCGAATTCTCCATGTAATGAAAATATTAATTCTATCTCGGATTATTCAACAGAATACACTGCTTTCCTGGTTTTATGCCACGACGAACATTGAATTATATCTATTGAACACACACGATAAGAATTTGAAAACAAAATCTTCTGAAGTAGAGACTTTGCATTCTTCTTCATATAAAGACAGATATGCACATAATATCATTCTGAATATTCATCAGAAAACAACTACTTTCCTGGCTATTTGCCACGTCGACCATTGAATTATATATGTTGAATATCCAAAAAGAGAGCATGACAAATCAAAATCCTCTGAAAATGAGAATTGAAAAAAAAATTATTGATTTATATTATTTTTTCCATTCTGTAATGTGATTGCTTCTAGCTTTTTTTGCCCTTACTACACGTATATTGAAATAATATTCATATTTTTGTTTTATAGAAACGAGGAGGGAAAATCCCAAAAATTTGTGGGATAATATTGAATAATTATATATTTCCACTTATTAATGGTTAAATGCTCATCAAAAACTTTTGTGCCCCCCGATAATCTGATCCTGGTTGGATATGAATTTATAATAGTAGATATTATATGGGAATGAGTGATAAGCTCGGTGATAAGTCGCTTATTTTAGCACTGTGACAGTGCGTGATAATGATTCTATATAGTGATTAATATTCACTAGGTGTGAAGGTGTGTTAGGTAAATGATTCGTGGTTATGATCATCATATAGGACGACCTATTTGAAAACTTAGATAATTCCTTGTAGCGTAACATATACGTATAGGTACAGTCGTCTTTGGACAACATGTCGCAGATGGACGGTGTTAGCTCTCTTAATCACCGCTGCAATAAGAGCAATCATACCGTCCAACCGTGACATGTTCTCTGATGAAAAGTGTACCTACATACTTATATGGTTAAGCTCTCAAATGTGGGTGTAAAAAACTTTATTCTCAATTCGAAAATGACTGGAATAGAGGTGATGCGACTTGTCTGTATTGTGATAAAGTATATAAGTAATCATAAAATAAATATTGACACGAATGTATCTACGATATTGAAATAAAAGTTCTCTAAATTGACGAAATATTCTCTTTACCTAAACTAATGAGAATTCGATTACTTACCTACATTTCAAGTGGCTTACGTGTTTTTCCTCGAATTTTTATTCTTCTATATCACCATCGCATATCGATATATTTCAGTAAATAAAGGTGAAATATAGGTAGGTATCAATTATTATACAGACTGATTCATCGAATCCGTTTGTTAAATGAATTATTGGAAGATAGAATTGGTCGAATTTTTTGAAACTTGGGGTATTATTGTCGCCTAATCAGTTCAATGCCTTCTGGCCTCAAACACTTTCCTTTAATAAGATTGTCTTTGATAGATTGTGCTGCAAATGATCAGAAAACGTTCATTTTCTTGGAGATGTGACATGGAACGAACTAAAAATTAACCATTGATTCAGAATATGTGAAATACAGGGTTTTATTTCTTCAGAAAAAAAAGGTGTAGTTGTAGTTATACAGGGTGTCCCGAAATTTGCATGCCAAACTTCACCAGCGGCTTCTTCTAGGAAGGAAAGGTTCAATCCTTGATTATCAATGCACATGAGTCGATATATTATGTCTAAGGGCTCCTGAAGATGATATTCATCGAATATTTCCGAAAAACCATGTGATAAAATGTTGCAATTCGGTACAAGATTTAATTTTTCTATGCCCAATACATTATAAATAAAAGCCGAGATAAAAGCATTCCAAAACTTCATTCACTAGTGTATAATAAAGGGTGGGACTACATTAATTATTGCAAAAACCTTTGTGTATATACAGAAAAGTGCAATAAAAACGGGCAGGATTGTAACTTTTGAATTATTCTAGATAGGGTTTTGAGAATTGGTGCATGGCTTTTTTTTATCGCTTGGAGCGCACGAAAGGGAATCCCTATAATGTTCAAAGAACATCGTGCGTTCCTAGGGAGGATAGGGACAGGATGAAGGTATTGGAATTATTTTTGAACTTTTGGAGATTATATGTTGTTGGGAATACTTCCACAGGCAATGAATTCCAGAGCCTAGCCGTTCTATGGATGAAGGAGTCTTGATGAAGTGCTGTTCGACATCTTTCGAGGTTGACAACGAAAGGATGTGCTGACTGGGCTTGTCTAGTTCGTCTGATTGGTATTGCTAGTGAAGGGGATGATAGCAGAGATTTCCGAAGAACATTTCCCGTGGAAGTATCGATAAAAAAGTGAATGGTCGCCGACCTTCCTACGGTGTTCCAATGATGTCAAAGAGTGAGTGAGTGTGACGTCACCCACCAGGCGAATGGCTCTTCTCTGGATGGAATCTAAGAGCATCAGCGTATGTTTTGGTGCTGAACCCCATATGTGGGAACAGTATTCTAGAACAGGCCGTATCTGCGCTACGTAGATCATGAGAAGCTGTTGAGGTGTAAAGTAGCTTTTCGCACGGAACAAGAATCCGAGTTTTTGTGAAGCAGCTTTTGCGATGGATCTGACATGATTATCCCATGAAAGAGTGTTACTGATGGAAATACCGAGCATAGATATGGTGGGCTTGGTGGAAATGGTGGAGCCAGCAAGTATACCAACTTGCTCATTATTTGATGAAACCATTTTTCTTCAATCACTTCCAG